ACGAGGAGCGTTAATGTTTATGTAGACTTGTGTGTGAATCAATAGGTGGATTAACACACGTACACACACACACACACACACACACACACACACACACGAGTACATATATCGCTAAAAGATCTCATTTAAGGTCAGTAATTAGTCTTTTAGTTCATTATTATTCAGACCAATGGTTCCCTTGATCATGGATGTGGGAGGGCGAGGGATAAGGAGTATTTATTTACCATTACAATACCGAGTTATGGCCCATTAGACTTCATTAGACTTTATTGGACTTCAATAGACTTCATTGGACTTCATTGGACTTCATTGGACTTCATTGTGGGTTAGGTGGTGGAAGACTTGACCACATTTACTACAAGAGATATCACGTACGTCGTCCATTACTACAAGAGTTATCACGTACACTAAAGGGACAGGCAAGCCACGGACGAAATAATACTGACATCACGACACGCACGATTTCTCTCTCTCTCTCTCTCTCTCTCTCTCTCTCCCTCGAATGTCTTGAAGCATAATATCACAAACTGGGTTCCTAGCTCACGTCAAGACAGTCCTGGAAGCTTCACAGAGCCACCTTGAACACACACACACACACACGCAGGGTCAGCTATCAATTTCAAACCAAGTCCACCCGGACCAACCAAGTTATGTCCCCACGACCGTCTGTGAGTGACTGATAAAAGATACGTTTCTTTTATTTTCTTTGTCTCTCTCTCTCTTTCTCTCTCTTTCTCTCTCTAAATAGAATAAGCAAATAACATTCAGGCCGTTGTTGTACACAGAAATATTGTCATACTCTGCAAGTGATCATAAAACAACCTAACCAAACCTAACCTAACTTAAACTAAACTAAACTAAACTGACCTAACCTATACACTATCCGACCTCGGGGGGGCAGTGGTGGAGTGGCCTGACTGGCTTAGGTGGGTCATTTCCTTGCATGTGGTGCTGGTAAGCCGGTTCGATCCCCGCAGTGTTATATTTATGGCTTCGTTAGCTGATTTATATGAACCCAGTCTTTCCTCTCTCTCTCTCTCTCTCTCTCTCTCTCTCTCTCTCTCTCTCTCTCTCTCTCGTAGCCGTCGTTACACCTTCATCATCAGAGTGTACCAGCACGCAACCTGACCTGCTGTTATAATGCTGTTCCGTTTCCTGCTGTGCTATACCGTACGCGAGGGTGCTGTACCGACATCCCTAAAGTGTGTTGTGCTGTGCTGTACTGTGCTGTGTCGTATTGTGTCGTGCTCTGACGTACTGTGTCGTGCTGTGTCGTGCTGTCCACTCATTATATCGGTCCTAATATTTAGATACGGTGACACCTGCCACTAACTCCCACCTAGTGTAGTGGCTCTTCTCCCCCCCACCCCACCTAGTGTAGTGGTGTAGAGTGGGTGGGGGGGAAATAGCCACTTTGATTATAGATTTACATAAAATATTAATAATAACAAAAATAAAATCAATAATAATAACAACAACAACCAGAGCGTGTAGTGTTGTTGTTGAAAACTGTGTGGATAATATTCTGAAGTAAAGTGAAGGCAAATATTTGAGTATTGGAACATGATGGTTAAAGTTTAGCAATGTACCCTGAGAAATATCGGACCAGGTGTCAATAATCCTCCACCCTCCAGCCTGTGCTATATTGGTATATTGTTTTTTATTCTCTCTATATTAAGCTTTATAAATAATGTGATTTTGGTTAATATGGTCTCTGTAAATAACGTGATTTGGTAATATGTGATTTTTTCAGATTTATAAATAAAGGGATTTTTATTTTTTTTGATAGGTGTAAATAACGTGATTTTATTTGGATCTATGTGTGTAAATAACCAGGTTTTTTGTTTTAACATACTGGTGTGTAAATAACCAGACTTTTATATCACGGTGTGTAAATAACATGACTATTTATATCGAAGCGTAGGTAGAGGAAGAGGAGGGATGGAGGAGGTTTGAGAGATAATGGTGTGAGGGTGTTGAGGAGAAGAGGGTGGATGGAAGGAAATTAGCCCCGAACCCCCTCCCCCCTTTTTAAAAATAGCCCCCTTCAAAAAATAGCCACTTAAAAAAAATAGCCTCATCAAAATATAGCCACGGAAAAAAATTAAAGATATTATTTTATTTATCCAAAAAAAAAATAATAAATAAATATTATTATTATATATATATATATATATATATATATATATATATATATATATATATATATATATATATATATATATATATATATATATATATATATATATTTATATAACAGTACAGTAACCATAGAATTGTCATCATTATTTTGTGTGCAGTAAAAGATACCCGAGAAAATTAAACCCACTAAAAACATTAATGATTTACGAGAATAATTAAAATGTTATGAGTAATTTTTATTATTATTATTATTATTTTTATTTTGAGTCGTGATATTAACAGCCTCATTAGTCACGACACCCGAGGAAGCAGGTCACGGTACTCTTTACTAATTATATCAATAATTAGCTCATCATGGAACTGATTTGTATTACCTAATTTTGTTGTGGTTGAATGTGGGTGTGCCAAGTCCGTAGACTTGCTAGTAATAGGTTGCTGTTTACTTTGCCTTTCATCTAATTATATATCTAACTAAAACTAATTGACTAACTAACTAACTAAAACTAACAAACTAACTAACTAACTAACTATGACTTGTATAATATTTAATCCCCATAAATTAATTAGTAAGTTTAAGATGTACTGAAGTAAGTAAGGTTGCTAAGTGCTAAATTAAATGGAAGGAAGGAAGATAGGAACAAGGAAAGAAAGAGAGAAGAGAATAAAGAAATGAAAGGAAGAAGGAAAGGAAATTGAATGGAAAAAGAAGGAAGCAAAGAAAGAAACGAGAAAGAAATTCCGAAAAACAAATTATCTCCTCACACTCAACCCCCCACGGAATATAATCAATACGTACTTTTCAAGTCGTATTTTGGCGCAGATTCAAGACAGATTACATATATATATATATATATATATATATATATATATATATATATATATATATATATATATATATATATATATATATATATGTATATATATATATATATATTGATAAAATAACACAGGAGAAAGGGAAATAATGGAGAACCTTAGCTTTCGTCTTTATTCAAGACATCTTCAGAGGCAACTGAATTACAAAGACTGAGAGAGCTTATGTACACAGTGTGACCTTACAAAACATGAGGTCGGGTAAAAAAATATGATTAGTGGATGTCATATTTTTTTACCCGGCACCAACTGGTACTTGGAATATATATATATATATATATATATATATATATATATATATATATATATATATATATATATATATATATATATATATGTAGCTTGAGTAATTTGCGATACTAATTAAACAACTATATGGGTAGTTCTGTCCGGCTAAAATTCAATTGAAAAAGTTTAATGGGTATTTTGTTGAAATGGAATTTTTGGCGGGGATTCAATGCAGATTACGTCACAAACGACGGATATTAGATTAGCTGTGCTTTAACGTCTCTCCCTCTCTCTCTCTTTCTCTCTCTCCAATAAATTTTAATGTCAGCTACTCAGTTTAGCGGAAGTAAATAAATAAAACTGTTTACTTTAGCAATAACATATCAATGGCTGCTATTTTCAGCGTAAGTTTATAAATTGCTAAAAGTGTTAACTTTACCGGAAACTAACCAAGTAAAACTCCCCACTTTAATGGCAGTAAATCAGTAAACTGCTCACTTTAGCGGATATAAATCGGGAAAATTGCTGACTTTAGCGGAAATTAATTAATAAAACTGCTAACCTTAAATGCGGCCGGATGGATAAATTGCTCGCCTCCTGTTGTAAGGATACCCGGTTCGCGCATGGGGACTCTCAGTCAACCCAACTGTGAAAAGGCACCTAACTTTACTTTGGGAAATGCTTACGGTCGAGTGCAGTGCCCCTCTTGACGTGCTAGTGTACTGAACGTTTAATATTTCCTGCGCTGTATCCCCATTCGCCCAAGTAGGACTCATTTTTTCGTTCAGTGTGCGTCTGTGTGTGTGTGTGTGTGTGTGTGTGTGTGTGTGTGTGTGTGTGTGTGGTGTGTGTGTGTGTGTGTGTGTGTGTTAGGTTAAGTTAGGTTAGGAGTTTTTTTAGGGAATAAACAGGTAATTTAAAACCTTCCTCGACACTGGTTGGTTAAATCGAGAGGTTTAGTACCAGGAAACAGTAATGGTCATGTGTGTGTGTATCTATGTAAGTGGTTCTGTAAAGGTTAGTTATGGTGCTCCTAACCCATTAACTACCGCGCCACAACAATGTTCAAGGGGCCACTGTAGAGTAAGAGTTCACACACACACACACACACACACACACACACACACACACACACTGGCTAGCATAACTAACTCACCTTGCAAACAGCTAATATCAACTCAACTCACTTTAACAAATACATCCTGCGTCACACTTAACTGACACTACAAACACTTAACCTGACCTAACCTAACCTAACCTGACCTAACCTAACCTGACCTGACCTGACCTGACCTAACCTGACCTAACCTAACCTAACCTAACCTGACCTGACCTAACCTAACCTGACCTAACCTAACCTGACCCCTAACTAGCTTTGTTTAGCTAACCTAACCTAACCTGACTAACCTGACCTAACCTAACCTGACCTAACCTGACCTAACCCTAACCTAACAAAGCCTAACCTGACCTAACCTGACCTAACACAGCCTAACCCCTAACCTGACCTGACCTAACCTAACCTGACCTGACCTGACACAGCCTGACCTAACCTAACCTGACCTAACCTGACCTGACCTAACCTAACCTGACCTAACCTAACCTGACCTGACCTGACCTAACCTGACCTAACCTAACCTAACATGGACTCCTCCCCTTAAGTGTTTAGTGATAAATAGAATGTTTTTACATAAGGTGCATTTCTAAGTGACACCTTATTATTAACACTTAAATGGCACTTAAAACACCTTTTAACTTACCCAGTTAGCAGGTATAAGGGTGTAGCTACTCCGTCACCACACACAAACAGACAGACAAACTAACTCTCGGCTTCATTGTTGTCCTTGCGAGGGTGGTGTACTGTGTGGCCGTCCGTCCGTCCGTCCGTCCGTCTGTCTGTTTCTTCTTGCCAGTTGTTGTTCCTTCTAAGATTTCTATTAAAAACACAACATATGATTTTTTTTATTTATGTCTTAGTTATTAATGGAAAGTAATTATGCAGGTGTTATGTTTGTTGTTAGTACTTGTGCAGGTGTTGTGTTTGTTGTTAGTACTTGTGCAGGTGTTGTGTTCGTTGTTAGTACTTGTGCAGGTGTTGTGTTCGTTGTTAGTGCTTGTGCAGGTGTTGTGTTCGTTGTTAGTACTTGTGCAGGTGTTGTGTTCGTTGTTAGTGCTTGTGCAAGTGTTGTGTTTGTTATTAGTACTTGTGCAGGTGTTGTGTTCGTTGTTAGTACTTGTGCAGGTGTTGTGTTCGTTGTTAGTACTTGTGCAGGTGTTGTGTTTGTTATTAGTACTTGTGCAGGTGTTGTGTTCGTTGTTAGTGCTTGTGCAGATGTTGTGTTTGTTATTAGTACTTGTGCAGGTGTTGTGTTCGTTGTTAGTGCTTGTGCAGGTGTTGTGTTTGTTGTTAGTACTTGTGCAGGTGTGTTCATTGTTAGTACTTGTGCAGGTATTGTGTTTGTTATTAGTACTTGTGCAGGTGTTGTGTTCGTTGTTAAAAGATACTTGTGCAGGTGTTGTGTTCGTTGTTGGAGTACTTGTGCAAGTGTTGTGTTTGTTATTAAATGCCTTTGAATCATTGTGTTTTGTTATTAGTACTTGTGCAGGTGTTGTGTTCGTTGTTAGTGCTTGTGCAAGTGTTGTGTTTTCATTATTAGTACTTGTGCAGGTGTTGTGTTCGTTGTTAGTGCTTGTGCAGGTGTTGTGTTTGTTGTTAGTACTTGTGCAGGTGTTGTGTTCGTTATTGCTTAGTACTTGTGCAGGTGTTGTCATTTGTTAATAGTACTTGTGCAGGTGTGTGTTCGTTGTTAGTACTTGTGCAGGTGTTGTGTTCGTTGTTAATTACTTGTGCAAGTGTTGTGTTGTTAATGATACTTGTGCAGGTGTTGTGTTCGTTGTTGGTGCTTGTGCAGGTGTTGTGTTTGTTGTTGAGTACTTATTGCAGGTGTTTGTGTTTGTTATTAGTACTTGTGCAGGTGTTGTGTTCGTTGTTAGTTCTTGTGCAGATGTTGTGTTTTTGTTAGCCAAATGCTTGTGCAGGTGTTGTGTTCGTTGTTAGTACTTGTGCAGGTGTTGTGTTTGTTGTTAGTGCTTGTGCAAGTGTTGTGTTTGTTATTAGTACTTGTGCAGGTGTTGTCTGTTTCGTTGTTAGTGCTTGTGCAGGTGTTGTGTTTTGTTATTAGTACTTGTGCAGGTGTTGTGTTCGTTGTTAGTGCTTGTGCAGATGTTGTGTTTGTTATTAGTGCTTGTGCAGGTGTTGTGTTCGTTGTTAGTGCTTGTGCAGGTGTTGTGTTTGTTGTTAGTACTTGTGCAGGTGTTGTGTTTGTTGTTAGTACTTGTGCAGGTGTTGTGTTTGTTATTAGTACTTGTGCAGGTGTTGTGTTCGTTGTTAGTACTTGTGCAGGTGTTGTGTTTGTTGTTAGTACTTGTGCAGGTGTTGTGTTTGTTGTTAGTACTTGTGCAGGTGTTGTGTTTGTTATTAGTACTTGTGCAGGTGTTGTGTTCGTTGTTAGTACTTGTGCAGGTGTTGTGTTTGTTATTAGTACTTGTGCAGGTGTTGTGTTCGTTGTTAGTGCTTGTGCAGGTGTTGTGTTTGTTATTAGTACTTGTGCAGGTGTTGTGTTCGTTGTTAGTACTTGTGCAGGTGTTGTGTTCGTTGTTAGTACTTGTGCAGGTGTTGTGTTTGTTATTAGTACTTGTGCAGGTGTTGTGTTCGTTGTTAGTACTTGTGCAGGTGTTTTACTCGCTTTAGATTTTAGTGTTTGCACAGGTGTTATGCCTATACGTGTGGTCATCTGTGCTTGCACAGGTGTTATGCTTATACGTGTGGGCATCTGTGCTTGTACAGGTGTTATGCCTATACCTTTGGTCATCTGTGCTTGTACAGGTGTTATGCTTATACGTGTGGGCATCTGTGCTTGTACAGGTGTTATGCCTATACCTTTGGTCATCTGTGCTTGTACAGGTGTTATGCCTATACGTGTGGTCATCTGTGCTTGTACAGGTGTTATGCCTGTACGTGTGGTCATCTGTGCTTGTACAGGTGTTATGCTTGTGTGGTCATCTGTGCTTGTACAGGTGTTATGCCTGCGTGTGGTCATCTGTGCTTGTACAGGTGTTATGCCGTGTGGTCATCTGTGCTTGTACAGGTGCGTGTGGTCATCTGTGCTTGTACAGGTGTTACCCTATACGTGTGGTCATCTGTGCTTGTACAGGTGTTATGCCTATACGTGTGGTCATCTGTGCTTGTACAGGTGTTATGCCTATACGTGTGGTCATCTGTGCTTGTACAGGTGTTATGCCTATACGTGTGGTCATTTGTGATTGTACAGGTGTTATGCCTATACGTGTGGTCATTTGTGATTGTACAGGTGTTATGCCTATACGTGTGGTCATCTGTGCTTGTACAGGTGTTATGCCTATACGTGTGGTCATCTGTGCTTGTACAGGTGTTATACCTATACGTGTGGTCATCTGTGCTTGTACAGGTGTTATGCCTATACGTGTGGTCATCTGTGCTTGTATAGGTGTTATACCTATACGTGTGGTCATCTGTGCTTGTACAGGTGTTATGCCTATACGTGTGGTCATCTGTGCTTGTACAGGTGTTATGCCTATACGTGTGGTCATCTGTGCTTGCATTATTTTCAAGTGTGCTAAAAAAGATTGTGAGGCGTCATTGATCAGAGCGTCGCCTGCTACACACGCCACTTATACCACACAACCGTCTAATCCACTATATTCTTAATGTGTTTTTTCCTGAGTTTGGATCACTCTTGTGCTTCCAGATTATTATTTACTTCTTGCGGTTAAACGTCTCTGATTTTTTTCAGTATCTCATGCGAAAGTTATTAATAAACACCATTGTAAAAAAATAAAAATAAAAGTACAACAAAAATAATTACTTCTACCAAGATTCACCTTTATCGGTGAAGCATGGAAAGTATTCTTCCAGTCTATATTATCTCCATCCAGTTTCCAAGATCCAGTGTTTCTGATACACCGATGTACTAAATTGCACACGTACACTGACACAGGGAAATCATCATCTACACTTGTGAAAACTGGTGTACGTGAGTGGTGTCCATCAGCCACACGGACAGGTGCGTCTCACCTCCACGACGGTCGGGTCACAACTGGACGTCCTGGAATTCTCTCCTGGAAACTCTGCTGAGGTATAGTTGCCACTTATGGAATTCTACCACCCGGAATAAGGTCCCCTATTTTGCTTTGGCGTTTTTTCTTACTTTTTTGTTTACTTAAGTTTATAAAGGGTTGTAAAGCCTTGTCGGGGGAGGATGACTTACGTTTGATGCCCCTTATTCCATGCTGATGGCGGCCACTTCTGGTCTCCAGCTTCCAAGACAAAAGTTTTCCGATGGTGAATTCCAGATGTTGATTAGTAAGTCTTGAGGAATAACTTGCCATATCCCCAATCAATATCAACGATTGGAACTATTAATTGTTCGTTTAACTCGGGTATTTCCTATACTACAATAACATACAGGTTCTCCAGTAACTGTGTAAATGCTCTCATTCAGAAATCCAGTGAACTGAAAACGTACTTGTGAATGAAACTAGTGTGTCTGAGACTCATCAAATAGTAATGCTTGCTTCAAATAATAATAATAATAATAAGAAGAAGAAGAAGAAGAAGAGTAAGGATAATAACATTACTGATAAGATAAAACAAAGGTCTTTCGTTACCCGGTAGAAGTAGCCCCCAGTCAAATAAATTGAAAACTTTGATACCAACTTACTGTGTTTACACTTGAGGTGGCCGATGCAATGGACTTTTATGTCTCGTATACAAGTCACTGCATATTTACGCCACAAGTTCCTGTAAAACTAAGCATTGCTGTTGGTTCAGTAAGTGTTGCATACATAATTCTAGGAAAGAGTGAAGCAGGTTAAGTTAGGCATTTACTCTAGCGTTTATGACAGTTGGGTGATGGTTAGGTTACGGTTAAAATAGATTAGGTTAAGTTTAGGTTAGGTTAATTTGGGATAGGTTATATTAAAGTTAATTTACATTATTTGGATTAGATTATAGTAGTTTCGGGTTAGATTAGGATATTTAACTTAGCTTATATCAAGTTAAGTTAGGATTAGGTTATATTAGGATAGGTTATATTAGGTTAGGAATAGGTTAGGCTGTACAGTATTAACTTAGGTGAGGATTATGTTAGAGTGAAGTTAATTTCAGTTCAGTTTATATAAGAATATTTTTGGTCGGATGGAATCAAGTTAGGACATCTTGTAATAGTCAATTTTAGTATTAATTACAGCAGTAAATTGGAATACAAAGCTGAGAATACCTTTGCTTTACTAGTGCTGCCGGATCCTCTATTCTATAATAAAGACGGAAAATAACTCGACGTAAGGTTAAGTTAATTAGGTTAAGGTATTTAGGTTAAGTTAGGATTGGCCAGGTGAGATAGTCCACCATCGCTACGCTAAGAGAGGGACAAATAGGTACCTTCTCCCCGGGGCGGCTGTTACTGTACATTATTTACGTCCAGGCCTGCGACGGTGAGTTACTGCTGCTCATGAATTCTTACCCCTCCACTTATAATGGATGAGGAGAAAACAAAGACTACTTTTGTTGAGGCAGCGCGGCCGCTTTGTAAGCCACCTGAGCTCTAGGCTAGCCCCCCCCCCCCCACCCCCTCTCCCCTATCTCGTAAACCACTTTGTAAACATTAACACAATAGGTTATACCGCTTAAGACTTCTTTTTTTTATTAAGCAAATTTGTAAACACCGATAAAAATACCGTTAACCACTTGGCAAATATCAGCACACTAAGCTATCCCGTCAAATTTGCAAACACTGGCTGACTGGGATGTGTCGTCATTGTCGTGGTTGTTTCTGTCACCCTACACGGCCATGACTTAGTTATTGGCTATTGATACTGGCTGGGTTCAGTACTCTATAAATGCCTGAGAGTCGAGTATGTCACTGTCTGTGTATGTAGTAACGATTTATGAGCAGCAGACAGTCCACGAACCA